CCATAGTGTCTTCTCAAAAGCTCCCAGATCTGATAAGGAACTTCAACAAAGTTTCAGGGTACAAAATCAATGTATAAAAATCAGGAGTAGCATTTCTATACACCAACAACATCCAACCTGAGAATCATATAAAAAAATAGAATCCCATTCACAATAGCCACACAAAAAAACATAGAAATACAGTTAAGCAGGAAGGTGAAAGATTTTTATAATCAGAATTACAAAACACTGCCTGAAAGAAATCAGACAAGACACAAACAAATGAAAAAAAAAAACATTTCATGTGTACGGCTTAAGAAAGAATCAATATTATTAAAATGGCCATACTGTTCAAAGCAATTTACAGATTCAATGCTATCCCTATAAAACTACCAATGATATTCTTTACAGAATTAGGAAAAACTATTCTAAAAGTCATATAGAATGAAAAAAGAGTCCAAATAGCCAAAGCAATCCTAAGCAAAAAGGAAGAAGCTAGAAGCAACGCATTACCTGACTTCAAACAATACGAGACTACAATAACCAAAACAGCATGATATTGGTAGAAAAACAGCCACATAGACTAATGGACCAGAATACAGAACCCAGAAATAAAGTCACACACCTACAATCTCCTGATCGTCTACAAAGTCAAACAAACAAACAACAACAACAAAACAAACAAACAAAAAACAGGCAACGAGGATAACTGGCTAGCCATATGCTGAATATTGAAACTGATATTTTCTTTACACTACTTACAAAAATAAACTCAAGATGGATTATAGACTTAAAAGTAAAATCCAAAACTATAAAAACTTTGGATGATAATGTAGGAAATACCATTCTGGAAATAGGCTCTGACAAAGATTTCATGACAAAGACACTCGATGCAATTGGAACAAAAGCAAAACTTGACAAATGGGTTGTAAACTAAAGAATTTCTGCAGAGCAAAATAAACTATCAATGGAATAAAATATACCACCTACAGAATGGAAGAAAATATTTGCAAACTATGCATCTGACAATGTTCTAATATGCAGCATCTATAGGGAACATAAAAAAATTAATAAGGAAACCCCATTAAAGAGTGGGCAAAGTAGATGAACAGCCGCTTTTCAAAAAACATACATGTGGTCAACAAGCATGTGAAAAAATGCTTAACATCTCTAATCATTAGAAAAATGCAAATCAAAAGCACAATGAGATACCATCTTACACCAGTTGGAATGGCTATTCTTAAAAAGTCCAAAAATTGCATATGCTGGTGAGGTTGCCAAGGAAAGGAAATGCTTATACACTGCTGGTGAGATTGTAAATTTTATCAGCCGCTGTGGGAAGCAGCTTTGCAAATTCTCCAGGAACTTATAACTATTATCTGACCCAGCAATTTCCATTATAGTATATATACTTAAAGGAATATAAATCATTCTACCATAAAGACACATGCACACATATGTTCATCACAGCACTATTCATAACAGCAAAGACACAGAATCAACCTAGATGTCCATCAATGGTAGGCTGGATTTTTTCTAAATGTGGTACGTATAAACCATGGAATACTATGCAGCCATAAAAGAAGTTACCGTGTCATTTGCAGCAATACAGATGGAGCAGGAGGCCATTATCTTAAGTGAGCTAATGCTGGAAAAGAAAACCAAATCTACATGTTCTTACTTGTAAGTGGGAGCTAACATTCAGTACACATGGACAAAGAAGGAAACAATAGACACTGGGGCCTACTTGAGGGTTGAGGGTGGAGGAAGGTGAGAATGGAAAAACTACCTATGAGGTACTATGCTTATTACCTAGGTGAGGAAATAATCTGTACACCAAACCCCCATGACACACAATTTACCTATATAATAAACCTGTGCATTTACCCATGAAACTAAAACAAAAATTAAAAAGAAGTAATTGCTGTGATTCAGAAACATTTGCAAATGCAAACAGATGTGCAACATCTATTTCTCTATTAATCTCTTTTGCAAATAAATATTATTGTATATTTTTAAGGTTCACAGAAATATGTTATGAAATACATACACAAAGTAAAAAGGTTACTGCAGTGAAGCAAAGTAATATACTCACCGTCTGAATAGCTGCCCATTTGTTTTATTTGTTTTTGTAGGGAAGAGCAGTTACAGTCTACTCATTTAGCATGAATCCCAAATACACGTTTATTAATTTTATTACAAATATATAAAGCCAATTAAGAAAAACTGCTAATTAAAATAACTTAATATTATAATATGGCATATTTTCCCCAGGTTAAATTATTAAATATAAAGCACCAGAGCTAGATAAATCATTCTGAAAGAGCATTTTTATAATTTAAATTTTAAACTTCATTTAATTGCTTGTAGTATTCAACTAAGCAAATTAACTTGAAATTGGAGACTAACTGAAACATAATCTATCCAAAAAAAGTCATGTAGTCAGGTCTTGAGAAGGCCATTTCGTCAAGAATTGCTATAGTCATTATTTGCTCTTTGGGAAGAATGTATCATCACCACATGAATTATTGGTACAAACAGACAGCAGGCATCAAGGGGAGAAATGGTTCTGAGAGAAAGCTGTATAAAGCAGATTTTTCACCAGTGTAGCCCCCTGAAGGATAAATCACTTTTGTATTATAAAAGATTAAACTTTAAATCCATAAATACTGTTGTACTCTGCTCAACAGCTCATAGTATCACACCACATCACACATTTTACAGCTCATAAATGTACATCAAATACAGCTCAAGTTTAGTGACCATAATCTTAACTCTATTTCCCTGATATTTTTCTAATAAGTAAACAATAAACAGCAGGAAAATATCACAACTTTTATAATAAAATACGGTTTGTTTTCAAAAGACTATTAAGTATCAGATATAATTTGTTTCCAAAATATTATGATTGATTGTTGTAGTATAAAAACAAAAGAACAAGGTAGGTCAACTTTGATAAGTGAGTATAGTCTGCTTCTCAGAATTTCACTCTTTCTCTGTAAAAGAGCTCTAAAGGTCTCTTTTGTGTGATAATTAAATGAAACGAATATACCTTTAAAAATAAATTAAAGAGGTTTGGCAGGCTATTACTCATTTAAAGAAATGATAAATTTTCTCAAGCATGACTTGTTATTTGAGACTGTTCCATACAACTATTATATTAACCATCAGGTGCTATAATTTTTCACATCTTCCACATTTAACATGAAAATGTAATGCTAATATGTGGGCTCGATCAGTCAAGTTAAAAATGTAACGTTCACCAAAATTGAAGAATCTAAAAAAATAGTAACTGTACTAAAGATTTCCATCTATAACAAAAGCATGACCCTGAGCAGTTTATAATTTTTTCAGTTACCTCATCCGTAAAATAAAAGTTTTATATATTCTCAGACTTCCAAGATTAGTTCCAGCCTATGCATTCCATGATTTTAAAAATTGTAAGAGATAAAACAGTTTGCTGGTGATCTGTGGTTCACAGCAGTTAAGAATATGCAGTTTTATTGTTTGAGCATTTTCTTATACATTATGAAATTAAACTAAACACAGAAATTTGACACCATAGAATATTCTTATTTTGGTATTCATCATTCTGAATCAAGCATAGACTCTAGTAACTATCAGCATAAAACCACTTGAAGAGCCATCAAGACTTTAATGCCTTGTATATCTTGCCAACTTAATTTGATCAGAGACTATAGAACTACATTTTTATTTAGAGGCGAGTATTAAACTGTCATTGACTTTCCCACATCCAGAGAATACAAAAATGTTAATCCAAGAAACATCATCAAGTTATGCCATATTTAATTATATGATTTAAGAAAAGAATCTTGTATTCAAGATTATGCTGGTTAATAGATCAAGTGAAAGAGGAAACATTATTCTTTATACTCCAACATATTTCTACCTTATTTTACTACTATGCAAATTTTTCATGGATATTTCTAAGACTGCCCAATTTAATATTCAAGAGAAGATTATTATAAAGCAAATCTAATAAAGTTTATTTTTAAAAACATATACCTATTTAACACGGCTTTCCTGCAACAGAGTCTAGCTCAAAACAAAACAAAACAAAACACAACAACAACAAAACTAAACAAAATTGCACGCCCAAAATACTTCATTTCAAAGACAAATTTTATGGTTTGCTGGGCTTTAACAATTGTATCCCTGTTTGAAATAATTATAGACAAAGCATCTAGTTAATTATATTTACCAAAGTTTATCATATTAGAAGACAATTGGTAAACTAGAGCATTTATTTCTGTAATCATTACTATCAGGATAATTACATGGTCCTTGCTTCGCATTCACTCTTCAGAAAGTAAATTATCAGCTTGAATCGTTGAATTTACATTTTAGCTTCCTCCATTCATTTCACCAAAAAAAATCCCTCCTTTTACCCACTGACATTTATGAATATAACTGATGAAACCATGCCACTGAATGCTATCTTTCATTATCAATGATCTACCAGTGAAAAAATAATTTAAAGAAAGATATAACATTAAGAACCATATCATAATTATTTTATGAATGAGCCTTGAATATAGAAGGCTATAGGTTATAATCTAAGAGTCTAATAACCACCATGCGATTTTCTTAGATATATTAATAATGATTCCTTGCTGATTTTCTAATGTTACATGTTTAGTATCATTAACTCTACTCCCTTTTATAATAAGGATATACATTTTAACGTGAACCAAACATAGTCAAATGGATGTTCATATTTGGACAAATTGATGAATCATTTATATTTTGAATAAATGAATAAAATATCTGATTTTGCTTCCTACATTCACAGAACAAAAACGCCGTAGCCTTCACCTGAAAATTACCCTCATCATTGCACTTTCAAAAATTTTCCTTCTCTATGTCAATATCATGTGCTTGCATACATTTACCCAATAAGGCTTCAAATATTTATTTTATAAAACTCAACAAATAAAATGTCATCTTATTTTATCATTTTTTTCCTCAATTCTATGAGAGCAAAGTATATTTGGTAGTACCTTTGGGTATTGCTTGACAGGAATCAGTACTCTTTCTGAGAGCTTTATGTTTTTGTTGCTGATGACATCAAGATATTTCTTTTCTTCGTCTTCCTTTTTTCCATCAGAACCTTGAAATTTTTCAATTTCTGGAAAAAAAAATCACAAGAAGAAGACAAGTGAAATGAGGAAAAATATTATCATAAATATGCTGATTGTTCATATTATTTCTCTTCTCAAATAACATTTTGATGAATAAAAGGCCTGAAACGAATAGATATGTGAATGCTGCTACTGTATTTAAGAGAACCTATGTCAACTCAAACTAAAAAGTGATAATTGAAGATGTGACTGTGTCTTCTGTGAAACAATTGATGAATGTAATTAATTTTTAACATCTTCAAACACAATAAAAAGGTAAAATACATCCTTTGATTATTTAAACTATTTTAGCAAACATAAGTTTTTCCAGCAGCAATAAATAAAACAAAATACATTTTAAGAATATGTGCTTTATTTTTACTCAGAATTATTCCTAAGAAAATAAAAATAATTAAGATGGTAATTACTAAGTTAGCTAAAATAGGTAGTAAAGAAAAAATGCATGATATTTTACAAGGGTTATAGAAAAGTCATATAAAGAATGAAATCAAATCTATAAATGGTAACATTGGTATTCATCAGTATGGCATTATTTATCTAGATATTCAAGAAAAACTTTAGAATGTTACCAAATTTGACATTTTGAAGCATATTTATCCACCCCTTCATTTTTGAATTAATTTATTCCATAAAGAATGTTAAACCTTTACTAGGTGCCAGAAATACAACAGAAAAATAAAATATCTCTTCTTTTATAGGCTGTATATTCTAATATGGAAAATGAACAATGAGAAAAAGAACACATGGGCACAAATACGGTTATGGGTGAGAGCAAAGAATAAACACAATGTAGCTGTTAAGAGTACAAAGGAGAGTCACACGGTGGTTATTACTTCAGATTTGCAGGGTGATATTTGAGCAAAGCCCTGAATGGCAGAGAAGAGTAAGCCATGAGAAGACTGAGAAGAGGACCTTAACATTTCTATGAAAAACATGCTTTACTTGCTCTTGGAATAGCAAGAAGCAAGAAAGCCTGTGTGGCTGAAGAATAGTGAATGTAGAAAAAAGACTTGCTAGGTGGTTATAGAACAGATCATGTAAGAATTGTAGGATACATAATGTTTTCTGCTTTTTATTGTGACTGAAATGGTAAGCTTCTGGGCCATTGAAGAACAAAGGAAGACAGCCACATTGCATTTTTAAGGATAACATCATACATAATATTTAAAACCAATCATAGCAGAAGGAAGGCAAGCAAGGAAACCAACCTACATTTGTCTAGCTGAGAAACAATGCTGACAAGGTAGGAATGAGATATTAGAAGACTGGATAGCTACAGCTAGAGTCATCTCATGCAATGCACCATGTAAAATAAGTGTTTTGAAGAACTGTTAAAAATTCACTTTACAAATTGCCTTTATTTTTTTACATAGTTATTATAACCATAGCATAATCAGTAAATATTTCTTTTTTTTTTTCTTTGCTCCTGTCAAGGTACTAAAATACCAACTAAATTAAGATATGAATATGACAGTGTTTTACTTTTGCTATGGATAGAACAAAACATTCTATTTTTTGTTATTTTGGAGTAGAGAAAAGGTGATGATAGTTACTAAGTATAAGCATTTTTCATACACATTTATTTATATTGCATATTAAAACAATTATTTTTTAAAGGTCTGACTACTTCCAAAGGTAAGTGGAATATACATTTTATCTAACAGATTTTTTCTTTGTTATTCTATAGTTAACCAACATTTGTTCCCCATGTTTTCAAATGACTTAAAGAAAAATCCCTAAAACAGTCAAGTTAGTAATTTTTTTATATACTCATTATTCGGGTTGTGTGGAATTTAAAACAATTATTTTGAAGTAATATTACATTACTTACCTAGGTAGTACCTGCATGAAATATAAACTGCATAAATTTTACAAAGCAACTTATAATCATCTTATCAGTTACATGGTACAATTTCCCTAAAGACAAGTATCTTGAACTAAACTGAACTGTTTGACAACAAGTTATATGTCTATAATTTCTATTTAGCATGATAACATCAGATTCCCATGTCCCTACATGAAAGTGTTAACAAGTCACTTTAACTGCCTCTTTAAACTGAAAATCGATCTTTATTCCAATCTTTCAATCCCTTATATAGTTATTACAACCAGAACTATGATAGCTGCAAAGAAAATCTATTCATTATGTCCTCTGTTACTAAGAATAAACTTTTGATCACTGCTCTATGGGTGCATGTACCTACATAATGTCATACTTTGTAGCTTGCTGAGACAATTGTAATGCGGAGCACACTGAAGAAGCTGTCTCAGTTCCTGATCTATAATACATATGGCTTCTCCCTTGTTACTTTTTCATAAAAGTAAATTGAATTTGTCTGACATTATTTGCTATCCACAAAACTACTACCTTAGGCTTTTTTTTAGACATTTGCAATTTGATCAGGCCACAATTAATTCTAATAACCTTCTCATCAAGAAACAGAGTTACATGAAATAGCATTTCCACTGCTATTTCTGTTCAATTCTACAATTTTTTTTTGAATTTTCGGGGTATTATTTTGCCCTCCTAATACTTTCAGGGACTTATCTTGTCTTCTTTGGCATATCTCCATGAGTAATAGCTCCATACTTGCATTTGTGAAATGCATAAGTAACAAAATGGTATATGCCAAACTTGCCTGGGTTAAAACCAAAGAAAGCTAATTTAAACAGCACCTTTATTATTTTATTTTCAATTTAAAATAGCTGTTTTTAATTTAATAATTAATGCATGTTCTTTGTGTCTAACCTATGAACATTTAGACAATACAGGTATTCACAAAAATTTAAAGATGTCCATAGTATTATCACTCTCCAATAACTAGATAAGTGTTGTGTAGTGGCACTGAATCCTTTTTCCATACTTGATTGTATATTGTCTATTTAAATTTACCTGTCGTATTGTTGGGAAAATATACTCAATATATTAGAGCCCACTTATCTTACTTATCTTTAGTTGAAAAAAATGTTAGACTACCGACAGTTTAGTGTTTTCTGATCTTTCAGTTTATTTATACATTCATCCAAAAATTTATTTTAGCCTTCATTGACTGTATTTGATGTGGTTATCATCACAGTACTAAGATTATGTGAAGATTACAAAAGAGCCAAATTAGATCATGTCTGCATCCACTTGCACCACATAACCCATTGGTTTAAGTCAAACAGAGGTTACAGTAAGAAGGTAGAGCTATTTTGTAGAAAATGTTTAGTTTTTCTCTTGCCTCACCACTCCCTCATTTTCTTTGTGAATATTATGTTCTCAGTTATGCTTTCTCTTGGTTTTCTTTTTAAAGATTTTTAGTTGCCTATTTAATTCCTTTTATTTTTACATTTTTTACTGGTAAAACTACTTAATGCTATGAGTTTTCCTTTAAAAAACTTTTTTATCTGTGCCTATAGATTCTGATTAGTTGTCTTTCGTTGAAATTTATTTGTAGAATTTCTGAAATTTTATTTTGTTATTCCCAAAATATTGTTTAGAAGCATTTAAATAAATGTCCAGGTGTTAGAACCTGTCATTTTATTTTTATATTAATTTCTTTTTAATATTGAGTCTTCTTTATTATTTCTATATTTTGGAATTCAAAGGAGCATTTTTTCGTAACTAAATTTTGGACATTGCTCATGAATATTTCATTAAAGAGATGTGTATTTTCTGTTGTTTCATTAAGAGTTAGATATAAATCAATGAAATTTTTTTTCCCTTGCTGGACACTTCAGGTATTTCAGTTTCCCTGAAAATCCATGTAAAACTTATTTTCCATATCCAAGCTGTCTTTCTAAAGCACAGATCTGAGCATTCCACATATCTCTCTTCTGTTGGAATATGGGATATGAACTGTGTTTATCCTTGGCTGTACTAAGCATTCAAATCTTTGTTGAATGTATGAGTGTCACTACCCTGACATGTACCTGCTTCTCACTGTCTGAAGGTTAACTTCTAAATTTTCTCTGTTCACTAAAAATGGATCAATCATTCTAGTCTTGTTTCTCACCACTTTCTAGTCTTCTTTCTTGCCACTTTGAAACAGGCACGCTGTATTCTATCCTCAGATATAGTCTAAGCAAATAGTACTCTCAGAGTCCTTAGGCTTTGGGTGATGATCTTCCCTTCTTCCTCCGACCAGTGGGATATTATTCCATCTTTAAGGCAGGCCCAAGTTTAATACTCATATTACATTATTGCCTCATCTCAGGTCTCCCTTAGCACTTTGTACTCTAAATGCTGCCCTTTTATCTCTTTTTAATGTGCTATTTGAAAGTGTTTTCCTCATTACACTGTGACTTCCTTGAAGCCAAAGACCATATCACATCTATTATTTTTCACTCCCAGCACTCATTACCATAGATGACTTAAAATTTAAACTCAGTCACGTCACTCATCAGCCTGTCCCTCTGAATAAATCTTTCTAGAAGAATATCACTTGGTTTTTAATATGAAAATTTCATAAAACATATGCAGCTCTCAATACAATGATTTTTAGACTGTTATTTACAGGAGAAAACTTACATTTATTTCCAAAAAACATCTTGGAAACCATAACAAAAGGGTGACATCTAAGAGAGGTGATAGGAATTCGAAAAAACTTTAAAAACCTTATTGATCAATGATTAGAAAATGATATTTTAAGCATTTCACAACCTAGCATAATCTCTTGTTACATATATGTTAAGTACAATTTTGGTTATATTTTAAGAAATTGTTTGAAGGTTTTGAGTTGACATGATATGCACTGTAATTTTTTCATGTAAAAATTGGAAAATAAGCTCTCAGAGCTTATTTTTATTCAATATATCTCATAAATCAACAGATCTGATATTGATATGAAATGCAACAACCATCTGCTTTTTTAAAATGAATTATTAATTGGGAACAACCTGTACTTACTACTAAGTTATTTCTGATTTTCTCAGATTCATATTCAATTGCATTTACTTCCAGAGCCTGAGTAGAACATATGTCCTATGTGTGTGTGAAAAAATA